CAGATTTCAAGGGGTAGGAGTGGGGGGCTAACAAAGAGTATGAGTTGGTCATTTTACTCTCATTGAGTCAATTAATAGAAACATAATCGTAAATTTTAAAAGTTTTGTGCGAAATATTACAGTATTTCCTTTTAAATGTTAGTTAAATGATCAAAAATTATTAACAATCTACATATAGGGGCCTATTATCTACAATTAATTAATTAATTGTTGAATTTGTATAGCTCATCATGCAAAAAAACCTCTATGCGCTTGGGGATTGAGTTCTTTGAATCTGACATTTTGAAATAAACACTATAGTTGTCCCTTTCCCCCCATGTTTTATGTTTTAGTTATCTTCAGTTGGCAATCCCTTGGAAAAGTTTTCTTTAAGGTTGTACAGCATTATTTTTGTCAGATTTCCTCTTCGGAAATCTATTAAATTGGTCATCTAAGCCTCCACCTTGTCCCCATCATGTAGGACATACCTTTACACATAATTTTATCTTTCAGGTCAAATTGCCCTCAAAAGAAGGTGTTTTTATGGTACTTGTCGGTAAAACTCTTAAAAACCTCAGACGTGAATTAGCGAAGATGATGAATGAGAATTACAAAGATTTTAATAAAAAGTTCAAAGTTTATGACTTGGCTAAGCAGAGTACCCCAATATCAGTAAGCGCAGACGATAAAAATAGCTTCATACTAGATTTAGACAGTTTTCTCGGGAATGAGGCTATATCGAAAAGGACTAGATTCTTTGTTTACGTTACGTACAACCTATGGTCTGTAATAAAATATCCCCCTTGTAAGGAGTTTAGTGGCCTTAATGATGGAAATGCTTATTTGTGTGTATTCGATGGTAAATCTGCTTTGTGCAATCCAGACCTTGCCTAAGATAAACTAGCGTGTGAAAAGACATCAATACGCTGTTGAAACATATTATGTTATTATGATCACTTTTAAGTACATTTTAAATGTATAACTGACACTGGAGTTAATTAGAATGGAAAAAGGCATAAGTGAATGTTGATCTCCTATTCAATTGACAGTTCACGTCTTGTATGAAAATAGTTTAAGCGCATAAGGCGTACCTTACCTTACTTTAGATGTCTTATGTTTGTAATGTTTGCTTTTGTAGTTATCGTATGTATGAATAAATAAATTAAAAAGAAAAAAAAAACAACTTTCAACAATGTACCAACTTTAATCAGTGAGGATAATACAATCTCCAAAACGGTGGACGTCATAGTTGACGATCAAACGACGAGGAAAGTATACATTATACGGCACTATATTATACCACATTATTAAAGTGAACACTTATTTAAGACATAGGTAGTTTTCTGTAGTTTAAGTATTAGTAAAGTGTTTGTTCAAAAGGTTATTTTTTTTAAAGTTGAAAATATGAAGTCTTTTTGACATTATGTTGGTTCTGGATAATAATTTTTAGACATTCTAATCGATTTATTATATTCCTTATGACTTAAAATATACCTAGATACCTTAATTATAACTAACATGTTTAGTTTAAAACTTACATTTTAGACATTATTTTGTTTTTCTCACATTTAACACGAGTCAGAAAGCTTCTACCTCGTTAACATTTTCTTACAAATTAAAAGTTTATGCAGACGCTTAAAATGAAATTGTGCAATTTTATTCAAATGTTTCATACATTGTTCTTTCGCACAAATTGTTTTCCAGTTTAAGTTTTGTGTTCTTCTTCCCACTCTTGTACAGTTGTGGGAGAGAAGATTTCTGGGAAAAATTTCTTATAGAAATGTTTTACTCGATACATATAATCTTTCGTGCATTTGTTAAAATTATCAGTTCCATGATGTATATCTTGTGCAATGAATAGTAATTGCAATTGCATTTTTATTTCTTACTTTACCTTCCACTTCCAGAAGATTTTCTTTTATATTTTCTGATTGTTTAAATGTGTTAACATTATCAATATCACTAATTGTAGTTAATACAGATTTTATCCACAACCTGTTATGCAAAGGTTTCTTATCTAAAATAATACATTTGTTTCCTCTTAACAATTTAAACAACCTGTTGGGTCCAAAACAATATATTGGCCTACTAGTATTGAGTAGTGCATTGAAGACTTCCTCAATATATGGAGACATACCCCACTTTGAGGTTGCCAGCGTATTTTGCTAGACAATTGACGTTTCTGAATCTCAACAATCAGACAACAAAATTAACCAATCAACACAGAACACCTGGCAAACCAACAGTGATGATGATAATTTTGAAGATGGATGGTGATTAATATAATGGTCAGTGGTGATGATGATGATTAATATTATGATTAGATGCTGATGATGGTGATCATGATAGACCTATTGATGATAATGATGATGATAATTATGATAATTATGATGATTATGATGATAAAGAGAAGGAGAAGAAGGATTTCATTTCAATGCATTTCATTTATTTTGCCGAAAACAATTACAATCTAAAAGGGAAAAACAGTCGGAGGAACAATAACGATACAATAAATGTTGGTCTCTGTTTCTCCACTAGGACCGGAGGGGTAATCAAAAGTAATATAAATTACTGTCAACGTGGATCTTCATCCGATGGGTGGAATCAGAGAACAACAAAATACAAAGAAAATATACTATAAATATACATTTAAATTACAATATAGAAAATAATAAGCATTTCGATTACAATCATTAGACGCATCATTATATTATCAGTGGATCAGCACACATTTCGTGAAGGGGAGAGGAAATGTTGAAATGAGTTGGTAAAGGGGCATTTTTATGCCAGGTACACCTTCCTACATTGTAAGAGGTCTATTATGACTTTAATTCTAAAAATGTTCCTCAGTTCCTATGTAAGAATGACGATGATAAACATAATGGAAATATCAAAGGCAACAATGACAATGGCCAAGGATGACTAAGATATCTCTATTTAAATCTAAAATATCTCTATTTAAAAGTAAGATATCTGTATTTAAAACTATTCTATTTAAAACTAAGATATCTCTATTTACGATTAAATGACAACTCGGCTCGTCGTAGAACGATATTCGACACTGGGCGTGATACCCGGGCCCATATCGCCATTCGACTCTATCGTTTTCTATGAATTGCACTGAATTTTAGTGAGATATTTTCTTTCTTTTCCTGTGTTGCTGATCAATGTATTCAGTGGCGTGTCTACGTGCCCTCCCACAAATACACACCCCGGCTCCTCCACAGGTGCCGGAACCATAAATTTGCGAGCCCCAAGTAGAAGCTGGTACTGCAAATGTTATTTCGATGTGAGTTTGCTTCAGGAAAATATCATAGTGTTGATGGTTTGCCCTACCTGACGTTTTGTCGCAAGTATTTGGCAACGTACAGAGTATTTGGTACGATAACACGTCAGGTAGGGCAAACCACCACTGTCATTAAAATGATAACCATAATCATATAAATTGAATATATAAGCTATGAAAAAGAGAACTCAACATGAGATGGAATAATTCATATATTCAAAATGGAAAGAGGCTATCGTGATGCAAACAATTAATTAAATTACATGATTACAAATGTTGTTTGTGTATGGTATCCATAGTTATATTCATGACAGTTATCTTTATTAATTTAACTATTATGTATTAATACGACACTTCTGGATGGCATACGTGAACATCTCAATTTCCGAACTATATGCGAACAATTTTTACTTTTTACTATAATGTTAGTGCTGTACATCTTTGGTATAGGGTTGGGTATACGTTCCTTTGCATCCGGTTGCAGTGATGGACAAGGTAAGAGCGACTACTACTACCACTACCATTACTACTACCACCACCACCACCACCACCACCACCACCACCACCACCACCACCACCACTACTACTACCACCACCACTACTACTACTACTACCACTACTACCACTACTACTACTACTACTACCACTACCAATACCACTACCACTACCACCACTACTACTACCACTACCACCACCAACACCACCACCAACACTACCACTACTACTACTACTACTACTACTACTACTACTACTACTACTACTACTACTACTACTACTACTACTACTATGATAACGGTATATCAAGCTAAATTTCACTATTATTATTATCTCCGCCAGGATATATATGTTTTCAGTCGTGTAAGTTGGTGTATGTGTCGGGGGAGGGGTGTGTGTGTGTGTGTGTTCGTGTTCGTTACACGTGTCTTGTTTTTTTTTGGGTTTTTTTTTTTTTCAAATTATCTCGAAAACGGCTGCACAGACAGAATAAAAATAACAGGGAGTGTTATATATGGCCCGACGAAAAAATTATTAAATTTCGGTGACGGGCCGCAGTATATGTGGATGTGAAGACCAAATTACTGTAAAAGGATTTAAGAGCAAATACATCACACCAGATATTTCAAAAACGTGTCAATTCTGAAAGAAAGTTTCGTGAAAGTTTAAACAGGGTACAAGGAAGAAATTATTAATTGCTAGTAATGATCCAAATTCAGGTGTGAATTTGAGGGTCATTTAAAATTATAAGGTCCAGACCTAAATATCTCAATAATCAATGGCTCTAAATGACACTTGCCAGAATAGTTTGTCATGTTTTGATGAAGAAATGTTAAAATGTTGGGGGCCATTCGGAGTAGGGTGTGCATATGAGGAACATTCAAAGGAAAACGTCCCAGAACAGATATTTCAAAAACTGATATCAATGAAACTTTTGTGAAAGTTTAAGAAAATTACAAGGAAGAAATTATGAATTGTTGGTGACGATCCAAATGCGGGTGTGCATTTGATGGCTATATATATCTTAAAAATATATAAATATGACAATTTCCAGAATAGTTTGTCATGTTTTAATGAAGTTAAATTTTGGTCACGATCCGAAGTAGGCTGTGGATATGAGGACCATTTAAAAAATAGGTTTACCGTAGACCAAAGGCAGATAACAATAGCCGAATGATGAATATTCAAATTAGTGCAAATACAGTTAATGTGTACAGCGTTTGTACTAACTTCAATTTTTGGGAACTGATTGGGAATATTTTTAATGCTTCTTTATATTTAAACATGTAAAGCTAATAACCATTGATTATTTGCATAATATTTCCATTTCAACACCAATACTTGGCATGTCTTTTTTGTCAACTATAAAAGTAAATTTTTCTCGTGTGTTTAACGGGAAGTAAGGAATTGGTGGTAAAAAGGTAGTATACCACTAGTAATACAATAAAAGGCCTCGGAGTTTCCAGTTAGCTGGTTAGTGTATTTTTTGAAAGTAGGTGGTGGTTGGAAAGTATGTGGGTTGACACTTTTTTCTACGGTTTCAGTAGTTGAAAATACAATGTTTCAATACTATATGTTGCTTGGCTTCTGTGTTCAAAACGTAAAATGCGTAGTGACAAGTAGGACGACCGTAAATTTTTAGGTGAATTATTCGGGTTACAAAATCTGAAAATGCCCACTCTAAAAAAAGAGTCCACAAAAACTTATACTAAAAGCGGAAATAGTGCCACTCTTTGAAATAAAAAGTGTTTGGGCGAGTTATTGTGCATTTTGGAAGAGGGCGGTTGAGCGAAGTGAGGTGAGGTGGGATGGTATTGGTAGTGTTTGGAGTATAATTGGAACATGTTTTGGCAGGTTTATTTTATAGAAAGGGATTTGCGGTGGGTGGAGACATTTCATCATTACCTTAAACTATTTAGTAGCCTCATTCATTCTCATTCATTTATAATTATTGCTATTATTATTATTATTATTATTATTATTATTATTATTATTATTGTCGTTGTCGTTGTTGTTGTTATTGTTGATGATGATGATAATGATGTTGTTGTTAATGATGATTATAATGATAATGTCGATGATGAACGATGAGGAGGATGATATAAGCAATAATAATTGTTCTTCGCCAGCAACAGACAGCATTATCGCTTGTTTCAAGCATCACAATCAACGTCGCATGACTAGGAACACAATTCAGTCTGATGGAATGACTAGGTGCTATTGCATTGACCATTGCAAGGTCAGAGGTTATATTTATGCTGGGTTAAAGAGTGGCGATACATGTTCTTGTGGAATGAGCTACACAGGACTTCCGAAAAATGGTCAATGTAACACCCGATGCACAGGAGATTCAACTAAAAATTGCGGAGGACAAAATCGAATGGAAATATATTTAACAGGAGGCTTCAAATAATGTACTATGTTTTTTTAATTTTCACATGTGTTGACAATGAGCTGGAAAGTTCATCCTGCTATGCGTGCCGAGAAAGTATACCTCCACCCACATTGTAAATAGTTCAAGAATGAAAACAGAACACACTCCGCCACTGAGATTCGAACTCGGAACCTGGCCAACTAGATCAAAAATGTGTTTTAGTTAGGTACGATCCTGTAGCCATTATGAGCCTTCAATTATTTTACCTTGGACCATGACAAACCATTCTAGAAAGTTTCGTTCAGATCTATTGATCAGTTTTGAGATATTGAGGCCACGGACGTTCAATTTTAAGGGTCTCCACATTCACACCATCTAAGTTGCATATTTTTTTTCTTGGTCATGACGAGAGGGTATACCATTGGTCACTTTTTGAGATATTTAGGCTGGAAAGTTAGGAATTTAATTGACCCTCAAATTCAAACCCAACTTTGGATCGTCACCAAAATTTATTTATTTTTTTTTATAACGTGATTAAGCTTACCGGAAAGTTTCTATCCATAGGAGATGTTTCCCTTACAATGTTCTTCTTTGAATCGTCACCAAAATTTAATATTTTTTTCTTATAACGTGATTAAGCTTACCGGAAAGTTTCTATCCATAGGAGATGTTTCCCTTACAATGTTCTTCTCTGGATCGTCACCAAAATTTAAATACGGTATACAGCATGAGGAAACTCTCTTCTCTATTTTTTTCTAGTAAGATTGTTAAGGAGAAAAAAGCAAAATAAAAAAGATAAATTAGTTGTATTCTGAGTAAAATAAGATCAAGCTTATGTTTAATATGTTATGTTTTTTTGTTTCTCTTTTGGTAAATTTTTGTTTTGTTAATATACAATCTTGTCAAACAATTCTGAATTGTTTCTTTTTTTTTTTTTTAAATAGGCCTATTGCATGTTGTATGTGGCTTCAAAATGGAACAAGTTTAACACCAGATTTTTAAAATTATTTTATTTTTTTAGTTATAGAGACCATAATTAGTGATCCGACTGTTTCGTATGAAGGCATTACGGCAGTTCTCAGCTACGGTAAGCGAGCGTTATTGTTATTAGGGATTATTGGCATTGTTATTTTCTAGCCTTAAATACTGTTTAAAATTTGTATTATTGTAGTTTATAATTATTTATTAACAATATTGATTATTATTTCTAATAATAAGAACAATATTTGGACTATAATTTATACTACGGTACTACTAATAATATTCCACTGTAAGCACAGCAGGTCTATAGGCCTATTACATATATATTTATTATATAGGCCTATTTCATATATATGGACAGTGTATTAAGCAAAACACATCTTGAGCCTGTTGATTGAGTTCACTCCGTACAATCAGTAAAACCAATATATCTAAATATATAAATTAATTAACGGGGATGACAAAATAAATACAATGATTGATAACTAACAATAACGAAATGATAAATCATACAGATTATTATAATAATGTGTAGCACCATGATAAACCAAAAACAACAAAAAAACAAAACAAAAACATACTGTTCTTGTCATTGTTCTGGTGGGTAAAGCAGACCTCCTAAAGCCCTGATATTCAACCCCCAGCCCGGGCAAACTCCGGGCCACCAAAGATTTTGATCCGCCCGCGCAACATCCCTTAAAAATTAATCATTTTCCGTCCGATGTTCAACACTTACAGAGAAAGTTTTTCAGTTAATAAAAACATGACTACTTTGGCATTATTAGTGTTTCTTAGTGTAGCTCACTATCTCTATCTAGTGTCTTGCCATGAAGAGAAGATACGGGTTGGTGATTCTTGTCCTAATTGCAATGGGGGAGAGGGAGACTGATGGGGATAAATGATTAAGTGGGGATCACTGATATGATGTATGTCTAACCATTAGCGGCGCCACCGGCGGATCCGTGGAGCAGGCTTTTGGGCATGTCATTCTGTTGCAAACACTGTTTTGATTTGTCTTTAAAGTCTGATTGTGCCATTTCCGGAAATCTAGAGGTGTTTATTTAAAAAATTTGCTCACCTCAGCCCCAAACATGAGCTGAGGTAAATCAAGGAAAAGGGAATCTGACTCCTCGTCTCGGGAACTTTCTGGCGCTACTTAGTACATACTTTTTTCTTTTAATTTCTAGTGGTAGAAGGGTAGGAGATTTGTCGTATCCTCCAGCGTTCCCTTATTTTTTACAAAACAAGGCTTATGCTTATCTTAGATGATGTCGAAAAACCATGGTTTAGGCCTATTAGGAAGACTTGTAAACCTATAAAGTGGGTGGGGCTGACGTTAAATAAATTGAAAGTAAAAATTATGTCGGCCCGCTGGTGGTCTCAATAGATTAAAATTGGCCCCCAGCTTAAAAAGTTTGAATACCAGGGTCGTAAAGACTGCAAAGGTGTAGGAGTAGCCTATAACAAGAGGGTAGAATTTTAAATCCTTTGGAAAATTGTATACCGTACTCTGTAAAATTATTGTGAAGTAGGAAATTTATGGAAGTATATATAATAGCTTTATTTGAAACGACGCTTTAAAAATAAAAAAAACCCTTTATTTTTGCGGCCCTTTATTTCCGCGATTTTACAATTTGAAATAATTCACGTCCTTTTATTTTCACGATTTTTACAATTTCCACTCATTTTTAGCATGATGCAGAAACCTGCAATAGTGTTTTTTAATCTAGCTGGAGTTTCCTATTTCGGTAGGTTTCTTCGGATTTTTCAAGCAATACTCTATACATATGCTTAGCTAGGTAGCTTAGACAGGCCTCTGCAGATACCCTAGGGCAGGTTTGAACAAAACTTTCAAATTAAAATGTTAGAAATCTTGCAGCAAATTTAGGCTTAACAAAGTAATAGTACATAGTTAATTATCAACTAATGGGAAATTCGTATTATAGAAGAAATACAATGCTGTGATTTTATTCCATTGAATTAGCTAGCACCACCACCCTAGTAAGCCTAGGCCTAGCACTCTGTCTGGCTCTGTGAAGTGAAGTGTGATGTGATGGCCTAGCTAGCCAAGATAGCTATTGAAATTCAATTCAATTCAATTCAAAATAACATTTATTACCTTCCTTTGAAGCATAAATATACAAAATAAATGGTCATTGTGATAAATATAAAGAAAACAGCAAATAAAGGAAGGAGGCAAACGCCCGAAAAGATAAAGAAATCTTGTGCTGGGCCTACCTAAAGAACAACAAAAAAGACAGAAAACAGAGCGGGACGAGAAAGACAGACGAACGAAGATACAGGGACAAAACAGGAGCGATAAAAAACAAACAAGAAAGCCAATACTAGACCGACAGAACAGGGGAAATCAAGAGAAAAGAAAGACTGTGGAAAAAAATAATCGAAAAGAGGGATTAAAAGATAATATTTTAGTAATTTAAAATAAAATGTTTTTAAAATTTGGTGGAATAAGATAAAGATTTCTTAGAAACGGGGTTCATGATAGAGTCAAGCAAAGAATTCGAAAGTTTGGATTCAAAATATCTATTTTATGTTGAAAATAATTTGTTCTATGGGTTGGGATAAGAATATGAGACATGAAAATGAAGGGTTTTAGCCTAATATAGGCCTAAGTAATGGAATATGCGTGTAGAAAAAGCAATATTACATATAATATGTAAGTACAATTGATAAGCGCTAATGGTCGATATGATTGTTGAGAGCCATTGTTGAGCATCTTGTATTGTAAAAATTATGAACAATTATGATAAGTATGGAGCATTGTAACCATTGACTATTATATATGTAGGCTACATGGCTAGCGCTGAGGCGAAGACATTTTACCCAATGCTGGATAATAATTGATCTCTATCGATATGGGATCTAGGAGGAGGTTCTTGATGAATCGTAGCATTTTATTTAAGCTACTTGTTTTTTTATTGAAGATGACGAAGTAAGGCCTACCGGTATATATGTAATAGTCGTAATCATTGATAATTCAATAAATTGTATATTTTTCATAGCTTCTGATGAAGTCGAAGACCAAGACATTATCTATGCATACACAGGAGGCAATTGGGAGCGTGACGCTGGACTAGGAGACGCTTCAGCAATTAGTCTTCAGATTATGTCCGAAGAAAGTGGTAACGACGCATTAAATGCTTCATTTAGCAAAATTCAGACAACTTATTTGCATAATCAGTGGCGCAGATTTAATGGGTTAAGGGGGAATCTCCCCCACTCCCACACAACCAAAACATGAGCTGGTTGTTTCAGATCTCAGTGAGAAAATTCACAGAATAATAATCATATTTAAAAAAAATTGTGTGATAATTATTTTGACATTTTTAAATGCCAATTGAGTCTATAATAACATTAATTGGATGATTTTTTTTTAAACATTATCAATTTTAATTAGCCTGATAAATTGATAATGATTAACTTGCAATGTTGAGTCATACATGGGTAATCTTGTTTGCAGAAAACACAGTGTTTGCGATGGCAGTCGGATATGAGGAGAAAGAAAAAAACACAACCATTTTAGTTTCATCACAGGAGAATGGAGACGATGATAGGTAGGTTCAGCCTTTCTGAAGTTTTTTGTTTTCTGTTTGTTTTTTTAAAGGCGATTGTGAATCCCTGTCTGCATTCCCAAAGACCTTATCGATCGCTTCGATCTCGTGATGTAGTCTTCAAATTAGTCTAAACCAAATCAGAACTGCTGATTTTTGTCTAGCCTTTTGTCTCTGCACTCTTTGTGGCCCCCGATTCAAGCTTGGCTCGGGCGCTTTAAATATTTTTGGCTTTTTTTGAGGGGCGCTTATTAAATCGGGGCGCTATGAAAACAAAGTGTAAATTGAGGGGCGCTAATGGAAATAGATGAAAATCGAAGGGGTGCTTATGGGAAACTGGAAAATTCAAGGGGCACTTTTTTTTTAATCGAAGATAAACGAATGGTTTTGGTGAAGAAAAGGTAATCATCGAGAGAGCATGGCTCATGACAAGAATGTTGGGGGGTATTTACACAACAGCAGATGAAATTAGTAGTGGTGTTGGGGTGGTGGTAAACGTGTTGGCCATCTGCCAATTCAGATTAGCAGGATCATTGCATGGTTTCTTGCTTAGATACGAGAGTGATGATCTTCAACCTTTTAACACAAAGCTAGCCCTTTAATTGGAGACCAACCATGAGACCACCCCAAATTTTCAGGTCCCAAAGGTGGTCTGGAATTGGAGGGTGAACTGTAGTGCTAATTCCAAAAAGGGTAGCAATAACAAGAATAAGATTCAAAGATGCATCATAAACTGAAAACCGTGTTAAACTTAATGGAAACTGATAGACTGACAGATGGAAAGATGGAAAGACCGATCGAAATGCTAAGATAGATGCGAATACAGTAGTTGATGCAGAAAATTATGTTGGTGATGTACTGTACTGTATGAGTAAATATTTTTAGGAATCGAGGGTCACTTATTCAAACGGGGCGCCTAAGGCAATTTTCACATTACCTAATCACCACATAATAAAGGATAGATAAACCAATTATAAAGACAAAGATAATATTTTTTTCTTTACCTTTATAAACATACGGACGTAATCTTTGCCTAAAAAGCATAATCAACTACATGATCAGTGGCATATTGCATGCTGTAGCTTATGATTTAAATGGAATCGTCCAAAAGGCAAGCCTCACCTTCAGTATGAACACCAGCAAACCGGTAAGAACCTTTCCAAAATAAAACAATATTCAACTTCCATATTACTTCTTCTTGCGCAGATGATGCGTCCTTAATTATTGCGATTTTGCAACTATAATGGACCCAATGTACAACAGACTCGTCTTACTAGGCCTATGTCTATGATTCCGTAATTTGTTTGGTTTCCATAATGAAAAAATGTAAACTTGGGGAAATTTAGGGGAAACTGTGAGTTTAGATTTGAGAGGGTGGGGTCGTCAAAATCCCGACGTCAGTTGGTAGCTTGCAAACAGCAATCTAGAGACCAAGACTCTATTCAGGATGTCTTCATCAGGCTGATGTTGTCCAAGTACATGAGCAGGTAAATTAGTTTTGTGTAACGCTTGTATACGTATAAAAAAGAAAAAAATACTGGATAACAACAATCCTGTAGTAGAGATACAAATTTGATATGAAATAGGACATAAACGCCAGTAAACAACCATAAATAGAACCAGAGCTTTCGGACAACACTAGTCTTTCCTCAGTGGGCGAGTGAGTGAGGGTAGAAAAAGCCATATAGAACATAGTAAAAAGTCACCAAAAAAAAAACAAAAAAAAAAAAACAATAAGCTAGGTGAGATAGGCTATAGGGGTAAGGTGGCAGTGAGAGTAAATAAACAAAGTGAAGACAAAGTAAACATGAAAGAGCTTTTCATTTTTTAATCCCAAAAATATTTTCTTTGGGTAACAGATTATAAACTACAATGTTCGATTAAACATTTCTCTTCTCTATGGCGTATGTGTAACCTTACTTTTGATGTTTTTCTTTTGCACAGTCGTCTATTGACAATGGAAAGGAAGTGTGTGCATTTTTGACAGACAATGGGTATGATATTTATTTATAAATTCACTACTAAATGTAATTAATTATATAATTTTAGTTGTTTTCGTTTTTTATGGCGTGTACACTTCAAAGTTCTAGTAAATTAATTCAACATCATTTTCTATGCTAAAGTGTTATGTTATTATTTTAAAAAATTTTTTAAAGTTTCATATAACATACATTGACCGACTTAATTTGCATGTTTTATTGTATATATAAGAATCAAGAGAAGTTTAAAAAATAAGAAAATCAAGAAAAAAGGTGAAATATCAAAAAGGCTGTAATGCAGAATGTCTGTAATTC